CTCCGTGCTCCGCTGGCTGGGACCCTCGGGGGACGCGGGTCGCCAAGGGGAAAGATAGCTTGGGGGACGTGAGTCGGAGCAGTACTTCCCGCGGAGATGAATGTTCCACCTTTTTATTTAGTTTTTTAGCTTGAGAAACTTTTAAGGACAAACTGGGGGACCTCTTCCTCTTTCCTCTAAGTCCAACTTTGACAATACCATCGTGGATCACGTGAGATTCCTATCAGGGTTATAGCTTATATTTCCTTCTATTGGACGTGCTACCCATGCATTTTTTTTAAAGTGAAAAAAAGTTAAGAAACAAAATATGAGCAAAGATGTAAACAAGCCTGACTGTCAAGCCTTCACACATTCTTGGAAAACACTGGAGAGTAAAGACCATTTCCAACTCGTGCTGAGGCCGATATCGCCCTGATACCAAAATCAACTAAAGACGTCGCAAGGAAACTATAAACCAGTATCTCTTAGGAATACAAAAATTCTCAGTGAAATGTAGCACACTGAATCCAATCATGTATAAAAAGTATTATATGCCATGATCAAGTGAGATATATCCCAGGAAAGCAGGATTCGTTTATAGAAATCAATTAATGTGATATACCAATAAAATTTTATGTCAATAAAATTAAGAACAAAACGTAAAATCATTTCAATAAGTTTTAAAAAAGCGTTTGATAAAATCCAACACTTTCATGATTAAAAACACATGACAAACTAGGAATAGAAAAGAATATTCTCAAATTGTGAAGTCTATCTATGAAAAACTAGTGTCATATCTAATGCTAAAAACAGTATTTTCTTATCTACAATTAGGAAGAAGACAAGGCTGTCTGGTTTCTTCACTTCTATTCAACTTTGTGCAGAGCAATTAGGCAAGAAACAGAAGTAGGGATACTGATTACAAAGAAAGTAAAACAATTTCTGTTTTCGAATGACCTGCTCTTATATTTAGAAAAGGTAAAGGAATCAACTAAAAAGTCTTTTTTTTTTTTGGAGCGGTTTTTTGCTATAGGGCACATGCACTCGCCAGAAAGAGAGATAGAGAGACAGAAAGCGAGAAATCACCCCCCAGGGGGGATGGCCATGCACAATCCCTTCTCCATTCTCCTCTCGGGATCTTGGGCACGCACACACACGCGCCTGGCGTGAGTTTAAGCCACTGGATCCAGGACTCAAACCGCGGTCGACTACATGGGAGTCCAGCGACATAGCCATTACACTAACTGCCGGTCCCTAAAAAATCATTAGTGCTAGGAAAATGAGATAAGCAAGTTTTCAGAATACAAGATCATTCTACAAAAATAGGTTGTATTTCTATACACTATTGATGAACAATAAGACATGAAATTAAGAAAATTTCATTTACTGTAGAGCAAAAGAATCAATTACTTAGGAATATATATAACAAAAAAAGTGCAAAGCTTTACTATGAAAATCAACATCATTGTTGAAATAAAGCAAATTTGACTTAAATAAACAGAATGACATTCCATGTTCATGAATTAGATAATTTGATATTGTTGAAATATCATTAGTCCACAAATTACCTTTGGATTAAACACAATCCCTATCAAAATTCTAAAAGGTTTTTTGATTTTGATTTTTGCAGAAATGACCAAGTTTGTTGTAAAATTCAGTTAGTAGTGCATAGGATCCAGAGTAGTGAAGAAAAAGAACGCCGTTGGATGACTCACACTTCCCAATTCAAATTTTACTGACAGGGTGGTATAAACATAGGGGTAGCTATATAGAACAAAGAATGGAATGGAACTGATAAATAATTAAACCCTTCAGTTTATGATTGATTTTTGAAAATGTTACCAATTTAATCGGAAATGAATTGTCTTTTCAACAAATGATACTTGAACAAATATTTGGCTAACTCACATGCAAAAACATGAGGTTTGACTCCTTATACGATACACAAAAATTAACTCAAAATGGATCATAGACTTAATTTAAGAGCTAAAACTATAAAACTCTTAATAGGAAACATAGAAGTAGAACTAGCCAGTGGTGTGGTGAAGGAGGCTGGATCCCATATGGCCAACTATGTGGTTTGGGTCTTGGGCTCAGTGACTTGAAAAACATTCTGGGCGACATGCATACATACATGCATGCTCAAAATCCCAAGAGGAGAAATGGAGAAGAGACTGCCATGACCAATCCCCCATGAGAGGTGTTTTCTCACTTTCCCTCTGTCTCTGTCTCTCTGTCTCAGGTAAGGTGGCATGACCTCTAGCAAACTGAAAAAAAAAAAGACAAAAACAAACGTAAGAGTTAATTTTCTTTTTCTTTTTTTTTTTTTGGAGAATGTTTTTTCACTCTAGGGCGCATGAGCTCGCCAGACAGACAGAGAGAGACAGAGAGACAGCGACAAATCACCCCCCCAGGGGGGATGGTCACACTGCAATCCCTTCTCCTCCATTTTCCTCTCGGGATCTTGGGCACGCACGCACACACACCCAGCGTGAGTTTTAAGCCACCAGGTGCGGGATGCGAACCGCGGTCGACTATGTGGGAGTCCAGTGATATAGCCATTACGCTAACTGCTGGTTCTCAGGAGTAAATTTTTGTGATTCTGAGCTATGCAAAACCATTTTAGGTATGATACCAAAAGTATAAACAACACATGAAAAATAGATAAACTAAATTTCATAAATATTAAAAATGTCTTTGCTTCAAATGACATGAAGAATGTGTAGCAAAAACCCACAGAATGTAAGAAGATACTTGCAAATCATATATCTGTGGGGGATTTGTATCCAGAACAAACACACAAAAACAAAAAAATCCTTTTTTTGAAAAAATTGTTTCTCCCATCAAACAAAAACAAAAAAATCCTTTTTTTGAAAAAAATGTTTCTCCCATGAGAGAGAGACAGAGACAGACTGAGAGAAAGGCAACTCCAGGGGGCCATCAGGTGGTGTGGTGGTTAAAGTGTTGGACATTTCCACGTGGCTGACCATGGTTCGAGTCTTGGACCTGGTAGGTTGCTTTCTCACTTTCCTTCTCTCTGTGTGTCTGTCTTTCTCTGATCAAATCAAGATGAATGAATAAATAAAGTTAAATAGATAATTCTTAAAAAAAAATAGGCACCTCCAACATGGGCATCATGTTGTGCTCAGCTGGCTGGGATCATGGCTACACGTGCACATATGCCCAACTTACTCGGGGATGTCCCAGAACACAGACTCAGGACCTTTCTCATAGGGGTCCAGCTGCATTTCTTCCGTATCACCACCTCTGGGACCACAGCATGTAAAAAAAGTTTTTCAACTCAATAATATGAATATGGATAAAACGAACCCACATAAAAATGTATAAAAGATCTGAATAGGCATTTCCCAAAGAAGATAGACGAATAGGTAATAAGCATATGTGAAGACCCAACCCCATTAGTTATCAGAGAAATACAAATCAAAACCACCAGGAGATACCATGTCACACCTACCAAGACAGCTGGAACCAAGTAGTCAGATAACAGCGATATTGACAAGAACGTGGAGACATTGAAACTCTCATACACTGTTGATCGGAGTGGAAAATGGTACAGCCAGTTTGGAAAATGCTTTGGCAGTTCCTCAAAATGTGACGCGTATTGTGACCCTAAGACCTTAGCAGTTCTACTCCGAAGTACTTACCCTGGTAATGAAAATGCAAGTCCACATTGCAAATATAAACATGAAAATTCATAGCGGCATTATTTCTTTATGTTAACTCCAAGGTGAAAACAACTCAAACATCTGTCACCTGATGACCTGATGAGCAAAATGTAATATATACATATGATGAAATATATTTGGCAGTAAAATGGAATAAAGTATAAATTAAAACATGGATGAACTTTGAAGACATTGTGGTAAGTGAAAGAAGCCGGTTGCAAAAGACCATGAAATGTATGAGGGGCTTTCTAAAAGTTCACAGAGAAATGAAATTAAAATATGACTTTATTTGGATTTAAACAGTTTTTGACATACATGGTGTAGATTTTCTTCATAACATGCATTTCTGTGAATTTTTTTTACAGAAATAAATCCTTTTATTTTATAACATTCCTTTTCTTTTTTTAAAAAAAATATGCATACAGTACTTGTAAGCCCAAGAATTCTGAGATAAGCTAGAGACGACCTGGCATTATTTTTGACAATTACACAACTGGGCAGCAAAATAACACCTTTATAAATGTCAGGACATACAGAAATAAAATTTAGTGTTTGCACACCAAAATAGGGAAGTTACATTCAACATGTTTTCTTAAACGTGCATTTAAAATGTTCGTGTTCTAAGACGTTGGTCATCATGCTTTATTAGAACTTGTTAAATTTCACAATTATGTAGATGATTAAACCCAAAAGGTAAGCAAATAAATTAGTACAGCAGCAAAAGCACGCTAATACTGCACAATCGTATTAGCGGACTGATTCCGAAATACATGTTTTTCACAAGCACACGCAAAACTTAATTTGTGATATTATAATTCAATGACTGTTCTTCCACTTTATAAAATAAAACTGAGTAATGAGACGTAGTGGAATGTGTTCTGTGAGGTTTTTTTTTTTTTGGAGAGATTTTCACTGTAGGGCGCGTGCGCTCGCCAGACAGACAGAGAGAGACATAGAGACAGAAAGCGAGAAATCACCCCCCAGGGGGGATGGTCACGCCGCAATCCCTTCTCCTCCATTCTCCTCTCGGGATCTTGGGCACGCACGCACACACGCCCGGCGTGAGTTTTAAGCCACCGGGTCCGGGACACGAACCGCGGTCGACTATGTGGGAGTCCAG